CCTCCAGCCAGCTGGTCACAGACCCGTGGGGCTCTGCTCAGCAATGCTACTCCCATCTCTCCCCTCCTGCTCTGGGCCGGGCCCATGTCCACACTGGCATGGACTAAAAAGGCTGCCCTGGCCACAGAGCTGTCTCCTGCCCCCAGTCTGTCCCCACCCCTCAAGGCTGTCATCCATGCTGTAGCCCAGAAAGTGTTTCTCTCCCTGGGAGCCCCTCCCCACGTCCCCTCCTGACATCTTCTACTCATTTCCCAAGACCCAACCCCAATGTCACCTGCTCAGATGCGCTCTCTCTGACTTCTTCGGTCATGGCCCCTCCCTCCTCTGGGCTGTCAGAGCCCTGTCGTTAACCCCTCCTGGGCCACTCAGCTGGCGCTTGCCCTGCTTCCCTCGTCCCCCAGCACCCACCCCGGGGGCCCTGATGAAGGTCTGAACTCACGCACAGGTAGTGCGGTGCTTGGCTCAGGATGAGCGCTCAGTAAGCATGGGCCACGTGTCAGAAAGGCCCCACCCACGGCCAGGGCTCCTGGACCCGACGGATGTCAGCCGAAGGGAAGAAAAGGACCACCTGCCTCGTTAGAGATGTTACTCTTGGCCCCATTTTCCCGATGAGGAGAGTGAGGCTCAGAGAAGGGATGTGGCACTTGCAGGGTCCCCCGGGGAGTGGCCGAGCTGAGTATGGGGCAGCCTGGTCCCCACTCTGCTCCGTGATCCTCTCCCCTAGCTCCTCAAGTCTTGGAGAAGAGGTTGTCCTGCCCCGTAGGTGAGACCCTGCACCCTCAGGGCCACCCACATGCAGTCACCTCCCACTGTGCCTTCTGACACTGAACTTGACTTTTACTTAACTCACTTTTGTGACACCAAGCCCCTGGGAGTTCCGGGAACCTAGAGAAAGATTTTGTGATCCTTGGAGCCAGTGTTTGCAGATTCCGGGGATACCTGCAGGCTCCTTCCTTAGAGGTCCTAGCTGCCACCCTGCTGTCCAGTTCTCATCTCTGCTTGGCCTCCTCAGGTGGACTTGTATGGCTTCGGAGCAGACAGCAATGGGAATTGGCACCATTACTGGGAAAACAACCCTTTGGCGGGAGCTTTCCGCAAGACCAGGGTGCACAATGGAGACTTCGAGTCCAACGTGACGTCCATCTTGGCGTCCATCAGCAAAATCCGGATATTCAAGGGGAGATGACGCTGGGAAGGGTTGAGGACAGGTACACCAGAGCATGCCTCTCACGCCAGCCCCAGCTTCTCACGGAGCCGCTCCATTCCATTCTGGGGCTCCCAGGGCTAGCCTCGGGTGTGCCAGGTGCCCTTTGCAGCCTCTTGTGCCCCAACATTTGACAGCACCTACTCAGCAGTGTCACCGGGCTGCAGAGTAAGTCTCAGAACCTGCTTGGGTGGGGGGACCCCTCAATACTGTCCCAGAGCTGGGAAAAGGTGGAGACGTGGGAGAAATCCATTCTCCAAACCCGGCTTCAGAAGATGGGGGACAGATACTGAAGACTCCCTTGTTTTAAAAGAAAGGACAGTTTTCCAGGGAGGATGGGCAGAGACTGCCCTCTGCCAGTGGGCCCAGGGCTGACTCCCAAACTCTGATTCTCACTGGGATGTTTCTGAGTGAGGACGGCGTCCGGGAAAGAACCACGTGGGCCACGTCGGCATGGGGATGACACGCACCTTACTCGCATGTGATATCCCCAAGTCCCCCTTGTTACCCAAATTCATTCTGGTGGCCAGGAGAGGCTCCCCACCCTGAAGGTCTTCACACTTGGCCGGCTGTTTTTGACTCCAGCGGATGCTCTCTTGAGTAATCAATCTTTGTCATTCAAGTTATGGCTGAGAGCAGGTCCCACCACTTCCATGTGCCTTTGTATTTGGGGGAGGAAGGCATGCACTGGCTGAAATGAAGCAACTCCCCGACTCCGGAAAGAAGACCCTGCACCGCCCCCGTGTTCTCAGCGGGAACATCTTTCCCGCTTTCCTGAGCCAGCCCCTGCGTCGAAACGAAGCTCAGGTGATGCTCACTGCCTCCCGGAGGCAGGCCAGCCGCGGACCGTCAAGGCTGTTGACTTGGCACCGGGACCCCCCCAAGCGCCCGAGAGGCTCCCGCCAGCCAGCACTCCCCGCGCCCCACGCCCTGGGCCCGGTTGCTGCTGGCCACCTGCGTGGTGACCGGGGTGGGGTCTGTCCTCGGAATGTCGCCACCCAAGTGGGGAGGCCATACCTCATTCCCTCCCCCACTCTTTCTTTCTCGTTGATCTTCCTGATTATTTATTGATTTTGTTGTTGTTGAATTCAACTGACATCCTGTGCCCTTTCTGGCTCTATTGCTGGTCCTGGGGTTTTAATTCTGCTGGTTCCCTGCTCTGCCTGGCAGCTGGGGAGTGGGGGTTTACAGCAAGGTCTGTGGGAATTCTCAGGCTCGGGGTTGGAGGTGCTGAGGGTTCGGGGCTTGCTTGTGGGCAAATCCTGGGGCATCGGGTTAGTGGGTTTGTGACATGTCCTGCATCTCCTCTCCCAATCCCACCTTCCTTTTCTCATTGTGAACTTGGATTCAGTCTCAGGCCAGGAATCTCCCACACCCAGCGGAGCTTCCCTGGGGCCAGTGAGAAGTGGGGTTCAAGCAAGGGACAGTGATCATTGGCTCCATCCAGTTACTGACACTTCATCAGAAAAACCATTATTCCCGTTGAGGGCATTCCCCCAGAGGCCGCTGCTACCTGAGGAGGTGTGACAGGTTCCTCCCTGGTGGCGTATGAAGGATGACCGTCTCAGAAGCCAGGGACTCACGTCCTCTGCTCCCTGCAGTGCTCTGGCTAGCCCTGCTCTCCTGGCCTCAGTGTCTCCCCCTGCAAATGGGGAGGGAGGAATTGTGGGAGCTCAGGGCCACCGATGGTGTCAAGCAGTTCACCAGAGTCCCCTGAAATTGCATGCCACGTTTTTGCCAAGTTTGTACCTGGGAGCATTTTCCTGGGGGAGGTTCCATAGCTTTTAATAGATTCTCAAAGATTGAGAATCCAGAAAACATTTTAAAAAGCAACAAACCTGTTCCAGCTTTAAAATCTTCCCAAATCTAAGACCCCCTTGACTGATAAAGGCTCGTAAATCACTGTGAGGTTGAATTCTCACGGTTGGAACCCCCGCAGCACAGACGGGAGATGGAGGAACTCAGCAAAATCAGCAAGCGTCTGGGGGCCACTGATCCATCCCAGAGCAAACCTTAAGAAAAATGGTCACTGGGACAGAGCAGTGTAGACTGGCTCCTGAGCCCTCCCCCTCTCCTGCAAGCAGAGTCTGTCCAGGCATGTCACATTCGGAACAAGCCACCTACTTCTTTGGGCTTTGCTGAGTCAGAGCAGGTTCCCAAAGGGAGGACATGTCCGCAGCTGAGCTGCCTGCTACCTCAGTTGGCTACCTGGCCCCTGGCCCATCTCCCTCCATCCCACAAAGCTGTTCAAGCTGTGAGATTTCTTTCAACCCTTGGAATCAGGCTCTCCCATTTTATAGATGAGAAAAGCAAGGCTCGGAGAAGGAATGTGACTTGCAAAAGTGAACTAATTATGACAGCGCATATCAAACATTTTGAGCAAAAACAGTACATGATCAACTCCACGTTTAGAGCATCCAGAGGTGGACTCCCCAGCCAGGTCCATCGGGCACCTCAGAGCACTGTCCCTGGGTGTGGCTGCTGGCCGCTCTGCCTCGGCCTCCGGGCTGCTCCTCGGGCTGCCCACAGGGGCTGTGGCAATCTGGGTTCCTGCCTTCTCGGTGCCATCCCTTCCGTAGAAGGGACAACTTTGTGCACTCCCACCGCCCCAGCAGACATCTCTTTGCATCTTACTGGCTTAGCAAAGGAGACTTAACCAAAATAAACGCCAATCATATGGCCGGGGTTAAATGCACTGATTGGTTTAGGCCAAGGGGACCCACTTGGTGGGTAAGAGTGGCTGAGAATGGGACCAGTGTTTCTCCTAAGGCAGTTGGCAGTGCCATGGGCAGGAGAATGAGAAGCAGCCATGCAGGGAGGCTCTGGCGTGTCCACCACACACGGTTGGACTCCCTAGGGCCCCTGGATCCCAGCTCAGGGCTCATCCACCCTGTAGGCAGAGAGCTCCTTGGAGACCAGCCCCAGCCCCAGGCAGGGAACAGATGTCCCTGCAGCAAACAGTGCTGAGCCTGAGGCGGAAAAGGCCAGGCTGATGAGGGACAGAGATGCCAGCAACATCCCAGCCTCCAGGTCCCCCCAGTGAGCCAGGAGCAGGAGCCACCTGCCGTTAAACTGACACCTGTAGACATCACTGGACCCCTGCCCTCACCCACCTGCTGGGGAGGAAGGTGGGTTTGTAGCCTCTGGTGCCTGGAGCATACAGGGCAGAGGAGACAGTTTTCACTGCTGCTTCGGCAGGTGTCCCGCAAGCCACAGGGGCTGGGCTTAGTGCGAGAGACGAGACAGAGACAGAAGAAAGTAGGTAGGACATGCATAGGAAAGCCAGGCGGGGGTGGGTCAGGGGCCCGACAGCATCTGTCTCTGTGTGGCCTCGCAGGAACAGCCTCCGGGCACAGGTGGAATAGATCAGAAGGTTTAGACCTGTGACGTTGGCTTTAACCGGGCTCCTCAAGGCAGCCTGAACACAAAATGAGAACAGAAGAGTCACCTAACCTCTCCAAACGTACCTGCCTCATCACTCAGCCCAAGCCCTGAGTGACCACTGTCCAGCTTAAGATGACTGGACGCCGGCCACATGCCATCCGGAATGAGCACTGTCCTCTCCCTCCCAAGAGTTCACTGTCATCGTGTCCGGCACAGACATCTGGGCTGCAGCCGACGTGCCACGCCACCAGCTGGCCGTCCTCCTCGGCGCCTGGCCCGACAAGCATTGAGTTAGAGCCAGCTTCCCTCTTGTTTGCCATGTACACACCAGCTCCCTGACCCTGGGGTGCTACGTGACACCTGTGCAAGGGAAAGAAGGGGGCCGGGGGAGCAGCAGAGACGGGCACAGCGCCTCTTACCAGCATCAGGGTATTAGCCATTTCTTTCTACACAAGAGCACTGTGCTTCCTATAGGCAGCCCGCCTGCTTCCACCCTCCTGATGCCCCTCTGGACTCACGTTGCCAGTGCGGGTCTGCCATTTGTGGCCCCCGCCCAGGGCCCCGAGCAGCCACCTGCTCTAACCCGGCCGCGCTGGAGCCCAGCCCCGCAGGATAAGCCTGGGGCCCAGTCGCCTTAGCCGGCCACCGAAGTCACGAAGCCAAAGTCTCCCGAGCACTTTTCTCTTTTCCTTTGTCCCTGGCAGCCCCTTTGGTTGGTTGCTAGTGTCTTATTAACGTTCACTTTTCCTCCCCCGCCACCCGCTTCTGCTTTGCAGCCGGGCGCTCGCTCATCTGGATGCGTTTTGGGTGAAGTGAGCGAGCCGCCTTCCTTGGCCTCGGCTGTTTTATTTATTGTTGAACATTTCCAATGACCCGAATCGAAGTGAATTAAAAAGCTATTTTATCGTTTGGGTGTGTGAGTCCTGGTTCTTGGAGGGCCGAGCCCTGTGCTGCCCCTCCGGTTCCACCCGGGAGGCATCCTCAGTTCCAAAAGGACGCACGGGGAGGGCCCCCCCAGTGCCCCTGGGCTACTGTCCCCGCTACTGAGCGCCCGGGGGGAGAGCTGCACCGCTCCCTGCGCGACTGTGGGAGCCAGCTAACCTCTCTGAACCTCAGCTGTCTTCTCTGTGAAATGGGGCCACAGCACCAGCTGCCAGAATGGAATGAGGTCAAGAAGAAAAGCATCTCCGAAGGCCCAGGAGACCCCTGCCAGTGCTCGGAGTGTTTGCTGTGGAGGGCCTGGCTAGGGTTGGAGCTGATGAATTTAGAGGTGCTCCATCTGCGCGGTGGGGTGCCTTTGCTCAGCTGCGGTCTGGGTGCAGGGCGGGGAGGTGGGGTCTGCGGGGAGGGAGGGAGACGGCAGCGAGGAGATGAAGAGCCCAGGAAGGGGTGGGCCGCAGTGGGGGGCACAAGGTGACGGAAGCTGCTGGAAGGAGGGAGGCAGGAGCTGCTGGTGTGAGACCGCAGAGCGAAGAGGACTCCTACGGATGTCAGGACGCAGGACATTTACAGGAGCTGCTCCGAGCTGGAAAGCTGCGGGCACAAGGTGTCCGAATGAATGGCCTTCAAGATGGGGTTGTTCCAGGTGATGGAGAGAAGGTGGAGGGAGGAAGTGTGGGTGAGTAGACACCCAAGGCCTGGGAAGGCATGTGCTGTCTGTGAGCTCCACAGGACACTAAAGTCGCCAGGATGAGGCTGCAAGTTGGTTGTAAACACATTTACTCAATTTACAGAGTCTGCCAGGAAAGAGGGAAAGTAGGCAGCAAGGTGCTGGGTACCCTTGGCAGGGGAAGGCTAAGTACTATAGTACTCCAGGCAGATGGAATATACAGCTAAGAAAAGTGGGGTGATGGGGGGAGGAGAGCATGAAGTCCAGGAACATCAGTGGGTGCCCATAGAAACACGGCCCTCACCCTGGATTTTGTGGCGCCTGCCCCAGGTACATCTCAGAAGTCAGGCAAGGAGTCTGCCTGTTTTCAGGGCCAGGAGCCACACACCTGGCACAGGCCCTGGCACACAGGGTCGTGGTCGCTATCAGTCAATTCAGAACACCCTTTTTTGATGCCTTTGGGAAGGGGGGAGCTCATGTAGAACCTATAGCTGCGATGTTGAATGTCCTGAAGGCACCTTCAGACCAACAGATGTCCAGGTTCAACTTCCCGTCGCCCCCACGAATTCTGAGAACTCCTTCCCCTCCGTGTTTTATAGCAGTGGGACTGGCTTTCCCGAGCCTTTGTCCCAAACAGGGAGGTATAGTTGTTGGAGATTTGTGAATTGCCAGAGGATCCCTACCCTTTCTGAGTTCCCCAAGGAGAGGGCTTGGTTGGACCCCGAGCACCCACAGCCCCCGGCTGTGGACTTTCTCCGTGAAGGGGGAGTGATGATTCCTGGTTTGTCTGCCTCATGGGATTGTGTGAAAACTCACATACTTGATGTACACACACATTTCATTGCACAATACATACCGAGGGCCACTGGGGGCTGAGGACACAGAGACGGGTGAGCCAATGTCTCTGCTGTCAGAAGGTCGCAGACTAATTGAGGGGACAGGTGGCCAGTGGCAACACCATGTAAAGGCGGAGATTATCCATAATGGCCATGGCTCCCTTTTGCACTCCACCCATTTGGACTGAATATTTTGCTCTGTACTCTTAGTCCTGCAACAATTCTGGAAAGAGGCACTATTCCTGCTACAGGAGAATTTGATGAAGAAACCGAGCCTCAGGGGGTGAAATAACTCACCAGGGAGGAAGGGGTGTAGCCAGGACTTCAAAAGCAAGGTGCTGTGTTCAGGAGTGCTGGGTACAGTTACAAACCCCTGTTCCCCTCAAGGGCTTGGGGACACTGGATTCTCAGCTTTGCTCCATACCCAAGCACTTTGGAGGTGAGCCCCCACGGGCTGTTTCGTCATGACAGAGCCCAGAGCTGCCAAAACGTTCCTTCCGACGTTGGCTGAGCGCAGACCAGGCCTCCTAGTGATGGCGGCCACCAGAGGGCGCAATGGACTCACCTTCAGCCACTTAATTTCTGTCCACTCGGAGTTTGGTTGGGACCCAGAAAGGGTTTAAAAATCATNCCACTTAATTTCTGTCCACTCGGAGTTTGGTTGGGACCCAGAAAGGGTTTGAAAATCGTGAGAAAACACACACACACATGTATAAGGTCAGAACTTGAGAAGGCTTAGCATTAGGTGCTATCATGTCCAACACCGCCCAGATAAGGAGATGGAGATATTTGCCAATGGGCCAAGAAATTGAGTCAAGAGAAAAATCTGAACCAAGTGGAAAATGTCAGAACCCCAAGCAAGTGGACCGTCCGAAAAGCTTTACGTGGTGTATGTTGTCGCACAGCACAGCTGGCCCCAGACTGTGGAATTTCACTGGCTTCTGACTCCCACCCCTTCTCCTTGACCGATAGGGAAAACCTAACTTCTTGGAGCCTTAGTTTCTTAACTGTAAAATGGGTATTAAATGCCAGAGTATATTTGAAAAAAAGAAGGCAGGCACCACTTTCTGAGTCCTTTCTGTGCCAGGCATTTATCATGCATTTTCTCATTTAATTCTCACAACAGCCCCATGATTGAGATGGGTGTTCCATCGTCATGGAATACCTGAGACTCAGGCTGTAAATTATTTGCCTGGGCTACACATTCCATAGAGATCAGGAGGACTGGAGAGCAGGTCTGATTCCATCAGTCAGGATGGGACAGGCTAATGCTGCAGTAACAAATAAGCCCACATCCCAGTGACTTAGAACAGATCACAAAGCTTGGTTTCCTACTGTGTCTGAGTCTAATGGGTTCTCAAACATGGTCCTTCCATGTGGTGACTTGGGCTTCCTGGCGCCACCTCTAGTGCTCACAGGACAGTAGGAGTGGGACAGGAAGGGTAGGGTTAGGAGGGTCTTTGGCGAAACTTCACAATTAAATTGGCAAGTCTGGTAGGGAGGGGCCAAGAAAGAAAGATAGATAGGAAAGAAGTGGAAGGAAGGAAGGAAGGAAGGAAGGAAGGAAGGAAGGAAGGAAGGAAGGAAGGAAGGAAGGAAGGAAGATTTGATAGGAGGTAACAAGGGACAAGTGGCTTCTGGGTGACCAACCAATGTGGTGTGCCACATGCATATAAAGTGGAGTACTTGGCATAGAGTAAGTGCTCAACATGTTAGCTATTTTGAATGCCTGTGTGTGTGTATGTGTATTTGTGTATCTGTGTGTGGTTATATGTGTTCTCCATTCCTCCTAACAATCCTGTGAAGTTGGATGTTGTACAAATGAGGCCTAATACACAGCTGGTAAAAGGTAGAGCCAGGCCTCAGACCCAGTTCTTTCGGACTTCAGTCCAAGGGCTCTTTCCATTGCTATGCCATGACCCACCCTTCCCTTAAACTGGCCCTCTTAGGTCTTTGTCTTAGAATCACATCAGGCCCAAGAGGGACTGATGAAAAGACAAGGATCAGCTCTGAAATAAGTTGATGCCTGTCCCTGGGGCTATTCATGGAGTGACGATGAAGTCATGAGAAGAGGTTCCATAATTACATGTGCTAGACATGTGCCTCCACCTGAGAGTAGTCACTTTGGAATGGTCCTGCTGGGAGGCTTGGCACTTTTTCTGATGATACCGCTATTGCCCAGAACTCCTGTGGGACTTTCCCTTTACAAGTCATGAAAAGACCTCAACCCTATTACTGTAAAATTACACCGCATGTCTGATCCCAAACCCAGCTGCAGCTCCTCATCTCATTTACCATGAGTTCCAAATGGCTTTTGACTTGCCAAAAATAAAAAAAATCATTCCCTGGAGATAGAATTGTATTGTAATTTAGATGCAAAAGAATGGGTTGAACACTCTGCAGGCAATTTTCAAATCAAGATTATAGAAATGTTTAAAGTAGCAGGAGCACTGTTGAAATAAATATATCCTCCCAGGTTGAAATAAATATATCCTTCCAGGTTGGAAGAATACATCTCTAGGTTTGGTTGTATAATTTCTGCTGTGTAAGAAAAGTCACTCACCTTGAGGGACATTGGGAAAAGAACTCTGGATTTGGTAGATTCCAATGAGATAATACTTAATGCAGGCCAGGGCACTGTGAGATGGGTCCACTCATGCATTGGAGGAATTGTAAATTGGTATCACTTTCTCAGAGCAATTTGGCAATAAGCATCAAGAACCTTTAAGAGTTTAAATCAGTTGACCTAGAAATTCCACTTCTGGGAATCTTTCCTAGGGAAATAGTTAAAGAGGCAGACAAAGATTTAGGTGTACTGCTATTCATGTTATTTGTAAAATAGTAAAAAGAAGTAAATAACCCAAATCCCACAATGGGGAAATTGTCAGGTAAATTTTAGTGTACTCATTAGATGAAATAACGCAGTCATTTAAAATGATGTTTTTGCCCGGCCTGGCGTGGCTCAGTAGTTGAATGTCAACCTAGGATCCAGGCGATCAGAGTTCGATTCCCGGTCGGGGCACATGCCTGGGTTACGGGCTCAATCCCCAGTCAGGGGCGTGCAGGAGGCAGCAGATCAGTGATGACTCTCTCATCATTGATGTTTCTGTCTCTCTCTCTCCCTCTCCCTTCCTCTCTCTGAAATCAATAAAGGTATTTTTAAAAATAAAATGTTTTTGAAGAATTGTCAATGATATGTGAAGATGTTCACAATAGAATAGGAGATAAAAATAAAACTATAAAGCTACATGAATTATACAGCCCCACTTTTACTTTCTATATGCTAAAAAAAAGGCTCAAGATAGACTCAAAATGTTACCAGTGGTTTTATCTGGGTGATAAAATTATAGGTGGTTTTAAATTTTCTTCATTTTACTTTTATATATGCAACTTTTAATCATTATAATGATAAATATTACTTTTATAATTAGAAAAATATGTATAATGAAAATTACTTTTTTAAA